ACCTCCAATGCCTGTGATTGCTGCTCAGGTCTAATTGTGGGTTCAGAATTAGGACACCCTTTATATGATCACACCTGAATCCTAATCTTAAAATCACAATTATCATGGACAGAGATAGTTCAGTGCCCATTCTCCTGACATCAGTTTCTCTTTATTGGAGGGTTCCAAGTATGGAGAAAATGTGACAATATATTTGTGTGAATCTAACATCACAATCCACTGCATTACTCTAGGAAACACAAAAATTGAACACAAGTAAGCTCTTCATTCTCATAAAAATGTGTGTATTTTGGGAATTTCAATGTGTTATCCAGAACTTGCACATGCAACCAACTGTGTTTCTCAGTGCAGGCTTGGCCTGGTGAAGCTCTCACAGACCCTCTCCATCACCTGCGCTGTCTCTGGATTCTCCATCATAAATAGTGCTTCCTGCTGGAGCTGGATCCATCAGCCCCCCGTGGGAGGTACTGGAGTGGATCAGGTGCATAGGTCGTGAAGGGAGCACGTGTTACCCCCCTCTCCTCAAGAGTCCAGTCACCAACCCCAGATCCATATCCATAAATTAGTTCTTCCAACAGCTGAGCTACATGAGCAGCAAGCACATAGCCGTGCATTTTTAAGACAAGACACAGTGAGGGAACAACTGTGTGAGCTCACACACAAACCTCCCTGTAGGGGTGCATAGGACAGCCGGGCTTGCTCAGGACCCCAGAGTCCCTCAGGAAACCAGGGGGCACTCAAGACCATTGTAGAGGCACTCAGGTCACCAGGGGCTCTCAGGAACCATCGAAGAAAAACAGGACACCAGAGGGTGCTCTGTACAGCAGGATGACTGTGGTCCTGGAGTAGTGAGCCTTAAGTCATCAGCAGTCGTGCACCAAAAAATAGTGTGACAACTTATTCTACATAGTAAGAATAAAAATAATGAATAAGAAAGAAGATAAGGGTTCAGTATGTGTGGACAACACCCAGGTCTACAGAAATGAGATGACTTTAAAAATATAAGCAAAGAATAACGAGAAAAAGAAGGAGGGGATGGGGAATTAGACAGGGTCCTGGTCTAATGTCTTGGGTAGAAGTTTCTCACAATCAAGGACTATCAGCTTATTCTGCAGGTCTTAGGTCACCCATCTGCTTAAAAACATCAGAAATGCCAGAGGATCTATGAGGGTGCTCAGTTTAACATCTCCTATTTGAGTAGCTTTACAGCTGTGTAAAATTCTTAATTGATTCTTTTTTGTTTGTTTTTAGGGACAGGCTCTCATTCTGTTGCACAAAGTACGGTTGTGTGATCATAGCTCACTGTAAATTTGAGCTCCTGACTCACATAAGTTTTCCATCTTAGCTTCCTGAGTATCTCCAAGTAGGTGGTTATGCCACCCCTACCCTCCTTATTTTTTAAACGTTTTTTCATAGAAATAGCATCTCTTTATGCTGCCCAGGCTGGCTGCGATTGCCAGGTCTCATGGGGGTTCCCTCACTTTGCTTCTGAAAGTGGTGTGATTATACGGATGATCCACTGCATCTGGCCTGCATTGAGTCTTCAGTTGTAAAATATGAACCCGATAATTAACTGCCTGAATGTTTTCTGAAGTGAATTAAAGTATCTGATAAGATTCCTTCTGATATGATTCAAGAGCAGTATTTTCTGCTGATGTTCCTTCTAATTCCCTTGCTGAAGATCACAGGGGATTCTGGACAAAACGTAGTAAAAAGGCCGCCTTAAACTCTTCATTATTAGAGTGGCTATCACACAGGAATCACTTTCAGTATTTTGTAACACATGCATGCAATAGAACAAACATGATCTCTGGGGGTAGAGTCTATAAACGGATGGGCCTTTTAGCTGCCAAGTCATAGGGTAATAACTGATGCACCCTGAGGGGTGGACCATGATTCTACAGTACTAGTGAGAGAACCCTTGGCCAAGAAAGTTTTACATTTTATACAAATTGATAATTTTTATGTAGAGATGCCATTTTTTAAACATTCCCAGAAGTTTGAGTGGGATTGACTGTCTTGTATGAACAATGACAATGCCCTCCTTGATTAGATAATATTGTAAACTAGGCCGAGCTAGCGTGTTTGCTGTATTGAATCACTGTATATTTTTTAGCTCCATGTTAGCTTTTTGTTTGCCTGTTAGCATTTGCTTGAACATGATATTTATCAGCTTGAAATTCTCTCAGCCCCGAAGAAGGGGCTAGATTTTCTTTTATACTTTGGACTAGAGAGGGGAGGGGGATTCTAGCTGTAGCAATCTTACAGAAGTAAAACAGATAAAAAGTTAAAAAGACAAATGGTTACAGGAAAACAAACAATTCCGGGTGCAGGGGCTTTGAATTCATCACAAGGTGACAGGTGTGGGGGCTCTGAGGGACACAAACGTAGGGGCTTTATGGTGCTATCTCCCTAGCGAATTCCTGGGAACTGTGGACATTGCTTGCCACAGTACCTGATCAGTGAATGGGACTCTGATGTGCTGAGAGTCAGCTTACACAAGTTAACTCCTTGAGGAAGGGGGTGGGTAAGGAGTCCTTGATGTCTTGCAAATGAAGGAGCCAAATGGAGTCTGTCAGGTTTTCTCAGCTAAGGGAGAGTCTATTCATATTAAAACAAGGTTAGGTATTACAACTATTTTATCAGAGACGAGACAACTTTAACAATTTTCACTGCAGGCATGTCTAGGCAAGTCCCCTGTGCACAATGACCTTGGTGTGTTGGAGATTCTATGGGGACCCTCTCCTGTCTGCCTAGGAGAATACTCTGCCTCCTACCTCTATCATTTTCCTCTTTGAAGAAGTACATCTAACTGTCCTGAGAATACAGCCAAAGACCAATCTTAACTGCTTCCAGCTGATGGGGGATGCTGTTTGGGGAAGATCTCTCTTGGAGGCCTATCTAAGTGACCCCAGGAAAAGGGAGCCATTATCCTAGGCTTCAGTTGCATGACCATTTGGAATTTGATGGTTTGAAAATGAGAAGAGACAAATCGGGTTATTAGAAGACATGTATCAGAACCAAACAAGTTGGTAGAGTTTGAAAAACAATTCCAAAGCTGCTGACACGCCCAGATAACTGGTGACTGTAGTTATGCCTGCGAAATGTGGGTGCATGGGGCTTGGCTTTTTTGATAGCTCCCTGGGATTTATTTTCCCAAAGAAACCGCCAGGTTAGGGGCAGCCTATTTATTCCCATCACCTGGCATGATTTGAAGGATAATTGCTTAGAATTAAAATATTGATCCAGATTTTTTATATTCCCCACCACTTTTTGTTTCTTCTGGGCTGTAGCCAGAGATCATTGACTGCCCCTCAGGAATAAGAGAGTTACTCTAAAATGCAGGCAAATGCTTAAACAACTGAGGAGATTCGAGTTTAAAGACAAGTGTGTGATATGTTTTGAAATACAACGTTTCTCCTTCCAGTTTTGGTTTTTGTTAGAAGCAAATAATGATAAGACTGAGTTGTTTGCAAAATAAACTTTAGTCTTAAACTTGGCCTGTTTATTTGCATGAAGTGCAGCAGGAATATTAATAATAATTCTGTAGAAAAAGTCTTCAAGCACTAGCAGCTTCAAAGTCTAACACTAAGAGCATATGCATCCTCAAGCAACTCACTGAATATTTCCAAGCCAGTCTGTTCCAATCTTAGATACCATCCAGTGATATCTGCCCCAGGTACACTAATATATGGGTCCTGGTTCTCTCTGCAGCCTCCTCTCGCCTCAGATTTCAGGTTGTGTTTATTGTTTGCTTTCTCTCTGATTTCAACTCAGATATGTTGAAGATTTTTTTTTTTTTATTTGTAAGTTGTTCAGGTTTGTTGTTAATGAGGTCAGAATAAGAGCATAGTTTACTCATTTTTATATTCCCGTGGTTAGTAACTGCTTTTCTCTATCAAATCTATTAACTGAGAGAACAAATCACATTTGGTTACAGGTGAATAATTAAATAGTTTGGCATATATTTATGTTCTAGAATCCAATGCAGCTTGAAATCAAGGCATGCCTCACTCATATAAAAACGTGGCCAAATTCTCAAGTAATTGTGCCGAGTGAAAGAAACTAAGAAATTAAGAGTAAATTTTACATGACACATTTGTAGAAATTTTAGAAGTTGCCACTATTGTAAATTAACAGGGAGAAGATTTCAGTTTTTCTGAGAATATGCTGTTAGGAGTAATGGGGATGTGAGTTGAATTTCAGAGAAATAAGAGAAAGATTTCAGGATTAATTTAATTATTCAAAACCTGGTTGAAGTGCTGAGTAAATGGTTGCAAACATAGGTCAACATTTTTCAAATCATTCACTATAAATTTGAATTAATTATTTATTAATTGCACTTGAATAAAGCAATAACAAACTGATGAAATAATATTTGACTAAAATGGAGCAATAAATAGATCAACATAGATCAATATTAACACAAAGAATATGACTGACTTCTGAAAACATACACATGAAACGTGATTCACTCTACATATTTAGGTAAATTACAGAAAGTTGACATAACAGATGGGGAATCATGCAGACCTCACTAGGTGTGGGCCACACTGCCCTGGAGTTGTCTCAGGAGAGCAGCCTCCTCTGGTGAATGGAGCACAGTTCCAGATAATAGGACTAATTTTTTTTAGATGTGTAATCTTAAACATACTGCACAACTGCTGTGTTCTCTATGTAAATTATCTTCTATAAAATATAACATTGAAACCTGCATTAAATATATAGTGTAAATATGTAAGAATAAAATAAGATTATGAGAGTTAAATGTTAATCAATCCACAATCACATAATATAAAATTATATGTTCCTGAATGATATAATTATTCCAGTCTCCCCCAGGTCACTTCATCTGCAGTGAGCCCTGCCCTCTCCTCCGATGTCCCAACCCAGAGCTTGCTATATAGTGGGGGACATGCAAATAGGGCCCTCCCTCTGCTGATGAAAACCAGCCCAGCCCTGACCCTGCAGCTCTGGGAAAGGAGCCCAGCCTTGGAAGTCCAGAGTGTTCCATTCGGTGATCAGCACAGAACACAGAGGACTCACCATGAAGTTTGGGCTGAGCTGGGTTTTCCTTGTTGCTATTTTAAGAGGTGATTCATGGAGAAATAGAGAGATCGAGTGGGAGTGGACATGAGTAAGAGAAACAGTGGATATGTGTGGCAGTTTCTGACCTTGGTGTCTCTCTGTTTGCAGGTGTCCAGTGTGAGGTGCAGCTGGTGGAGTCTGGAGGAGGCTTGGTTCAGCCTGGGGGGTCCCTGAGACTCTCCTGTGCAGCCTCTGGATTCACCTTCAGTAGCTATGGCATGAGCTGGGTCCGCCAGACTCCAGGGAAGGGGCTGGAGTGGGTGGCAGTTATATGGTATGATGGAAGTAAGAAATACTACGCAGACTCTGTGAAGGACCGATTCACCATCTCCAGAGACAATTCCAAGAACATGCTATATCTTCAAATGAACAACCTGAAATTGGAGGACACGGCCGTGTATTACTGTGGGAGAGACACAGTGAGGGGAAGTCAGTGTGAGCCCAGACACAAACCTCCCTGCAAGAACGTGGGGGGAAATCAGCTGCAGGGGCTGCTCAGGACCCACTGATCAGAGTCAACCCAGAGGCCAGTGCACACGGAGGCTGATTTCCTGTCAGGATGTGGGACGTCATCTTCTGACAGTTCCCCAGGGAACCTCTTAAGTTTAGAAATCTGTGCCTAACAACGTCTTCTCTATGTATTTGAAAGAAATTATTTTAATATGGGGACCTATTCTCACCGGCACAAAATGCAGATTGATGCTTACAGGGATGAAAATTCTTCAACCACAGTCACCAGGATCAGAGTAGTGAGTAAGCTCAGGGCTTCCTAGTGAGTCTTCTCCAGTGAGACCCAGGACAGGGACTTCAGTGAGGTTCCCTGACTAGAACAGTCTTTACGGATCCTGGTCACAGACAATAGAGAGGCTGGGCCAGGGTCAGTGTCATGTAGAACCTCACAGGTTTCACGTCTGGCCCTTCTCCTGACACTGAAGGATGCAAATCAGCATCTGCACTGATCTGGTGCTTCTTTTGTCCCTAATCCATTTACTTTCTTTTGTAGTCGTTGTTCTCATTTTTCCATTTGCCTTTCCTGCTTTCTGGAAAAGGAAGATATTTTCCCTGTGGTTAAAATTCCAGGCCTCAAGCCCTTTCCTGGCGCTCAGGTGGGTCTCAGGCTGTGGCTGCCGCAGTCACGCGGGAGAGGCTGGTGGGACTTTCTTCACTCCTCCTCACTCAGGACCCTCCACTGTGTTGCACGGAGACTCATCTGGAAATGCAAGTTGCCAGTGGGGACTGAAGGGGACAAGCTTGTTTGGTTAACGTGGGATGTGGATGTGTTTCTAATCCTGTTCTGAAAAACCTTCACACAGTAATGTTCTTTACTAGTGGTGTGAGGAAGAGGGTGTGAAAGTTGTCAGAATCAAAATGGAGCCACTTGTGTTATAATCTTTACAGGCGAAGCTGGAGAAGGTCATGAATAGAGGGTTCTCATGAACATATCCCTGATAACAAGAATGGATATTGTGGGGATATCTGCCCTGCCAGTCCCTGTCCATCTTTAAACTGATTCCACCCTTTTTATTCTTCTATCCCAGGATAATTGTCTCGAAAACAGCTCGTGTAAGCCTCCTCCTTCTTTTAAAACACTTGTCTTCATTTGCCTGCTTAAATATGCCCATGCATATTCCCATTGCAATGCTCATTTTCAAATAAATATTATTTGATTTTGGGGAGTCTCTTTCTGTCTGATATTTAGGTGTGACAAGCTGCAGTGGGACACACCACTTTCCTGTGAGATGGAGGGGATGACGATTTTGGGGGATGGCTGGAAACATCCAATATCCTCAGGGCCGGCCATCAGTAAGTGCAGGCTGGCAGTCAAAGAAACAGCTGAAGCTGCTTAATCACTATAGAGTTTTACCTTCTCCAGGTCTGCTCTGATGGAATCAGGGCCAAGCAGGTTAGCAATGATAATCTGCCTAACACAGAGTCAACTGATTACGTTTTAATAACCTCTATTACAAAATTCACAACACCGCCTGGATTAGTGTTTGATCAAATAACTACAAAGCATTGTCCAGCCAAGTACACCATAAGACGGACCGTTACCCATGGAGGAAAACACTTAATATGAGTTCTAGGTTCTTACATTGTTAAAGGTGTAAAACGGATTATTTTTAAATGAGGCAATTTTTATTTTTGCTATTGAGTTGTAAAAGTTTCTTTTATATTTGAACATTTAAACTTTTTCAGATATATGGCATATTATTCCAATCTGTAAGTTGTAATTATTTTGTTGCTTTGCAGAATCTTTTTTGAAATCTATTCTTCCAGTTGTTCAATTCTGCTTTTTTTGTAGGGGCTTTGAATGTAAAATCCTGAAAAAGATTGCTAATTTTTAAAGGTTGGGAGTTTTACAATTACAGGTATTACATTTAAATATTTAAAACATTTAGAGTGAATTTTTGTGTTTATTCTAACCTAAAATTCTTAATTCTTTTCATGTGCAAACCAGTTTTCATAACACCCTCTTTCAAAGACACTATAATTTAGTCATTTTATATTGATAGTTCTCATCCTGAAAATCAGTTTGTCATCAATATGTGGGTTTATATCGAATCTCTCTATATGCATTTATGCCAATATCTTTTGATATTTATAATAAATGTTGAGGCCTGGAAGTGAAATGCTCAAGCTTTATTCTCGCCTTGTTACAGATATTAGACCAAAACATTTTAATCTTTTACTATTAAGCATAATAACAGCTGTGACTTTTCTTAATGGCTTTTATTATGCACAAGTTGTTTTCTTGTCTTCCTACTTTGTTCAGAGTTTTTATAATGAAACCCCGATTTTTTCAATTTTTTTCCTGTGTCTGATGAAATGTTACTGAGATATTTTTCTTTAGTTTTTTAATGTGGTATACCAAGTTGATTGATTTGAGGATGTTGAATCAACTGTATCTCAAGAATAAATTTGAGTAGCTCACGGTGTATGGTCTTTTAAAAGACTTTAGAATTTAGTTTACTAACATTGGGGATTAAGTTATGTCTACTAATGATATTGGTCTGTAGTTTTCTTTTATCGTGATGCCTTTGTCTATTACTGGTAAAACTATAATGGTAGCCTGCTAGAGTTTAGAAGGTATACTGCAGACTGCCTTTAAAATACATTTCATCAGTGGAGAAATGGTGATAGTTTTTTCTTCAGTTTTCTCTTGGGAAGAATTTCATGTTGTTTAAAAGATATTTAGAATGACTTAACCTTGCTTATGGGCTTACATTTTATTCCTTTCTTTCATTCTTTTTGAAGAACCGCTTACCTTTCCTATTTAATTTTAGGTTTATTTTTATATTTGTGCAACATATTTTGAGGTGAAACTTTGTGGATTTTTTTCTAATAAGTTAGAAAAAATAAATCATTTAATTGACTACTTTATTCAGGTTGATTTGTTGAGTATTTGCGAAAGGCCAGTTCTTTAACCTATGACATGTAACAAATCCCAAATGGCAGTACCTCATTGTTTACTTAGCTTTTGTACTTATATTTTTCAGAGGAAAAATCGCTACTGTAATTTGTAAATAGCCAATACATAATTGTATTGTATGCATATCTGTGACTGTTTGCAGTGTTATCTCCGAGAAACAGATAAATAAAGTTTCTTTAGATGTATAAAAAAAAGAATTTGGAAGGTTGACCCTTCACAATTTTTAAAGGAGTTAGAGAAGGGCTGGCATTACTTCTTTAAATGTTAAGTCTCACTTTATGATGTAACATACAACATATCACAGAGAATGTTCAATGTGTGCCTGAGAAAGATGTGAATTATGTGGCTCTTGGTTGGAAGATTCTATACATGTCTTTCAGGTAAAATTGTTCAATAGTGTTGTTCAAGTTCAGAGGCATGTTAAGAATTTTCTTTCTGGATTTGCTATACATTATGGTCATGAGGTATTAAGGTCTTCTCTTTTTTTTTATTGTTTTCTATTTCTCTATATCTCTTACAGTTTCCTTAATGCAGTTATATTTGTAGTTGTACACATGTGTAAAATCTAAAATCATAGTTGCTAAATGAGTTTTATGGCACAGTCAATTTATAAGTAATATTTTTCCAAATGCTACCATTGCCACTAAACAATGGCAGTCTGCCATCTGCTCTGGGCACTGCCTTCTTGTCAGGCGTCCCACAGCGGAGCTTACTATAGAGGAGGACGCATGAAAACAGGACTCTCCCTCTCCTGGTGAAAACAATTCCTGACCTGCAGCTCTGGGAGAAGAGCCGCAGCCCTGGGATTCCCAGGGGTTTCCATTTGGTAATCAGGACTGAACACAGAGGACTCTATGGGGATTGAGCTAAGCTGAATTTTTCTTGTTGCTGTTTTAAAAGGTGACTCATAGAGAAGTAGAGTGAGTGAGAATGAGTGGATATGAGTGAGAGAAACAGTGGATATGTTTGGCAGTTTCTGACCAGGATGTGTGCGTATTTTCAGGTTTTCAGTGTGAGGTGCAGCTGATTCAGTCCATAGAGGACCTGAGACAACCTGGGAAGTTCCTGAGTCTCTCCTGTGTAGCCTCCAGATTCGCCTTCAGTAGCTACTGAATGAGCTGGGTTCACAAGACTCCAGGGAAGGGGCTGGAGGGAGTAATAGATATAAATATGATGGAAGTCGGATATACCGTGTAGACTCAGTGAAGGGCAGATTCTCGATCTCCAAAGACAACACTAAGAACTCGCTGTATCTGAAAATGAACAGTTGGAGAGCTGAGGACATGGCCTTCTATGGCTGTACATAAGGTCCCAAGTGAGGACGCATCAGTGTGAGTCCAGACACAAAATTTCCTGCAAAAAGAAGAAAGGAGTCTGGACTGAAGGGGACACTCAGCACTCACAAACCAGGTGCAGCCCCAGGGCAGGTGCAGATGGAGGGAGGGCAAGGGCTGCTTTCCTTCGGGGTCTGTAGTTTCCTCTGCTTCTAACATTTCTCCTCTGAGCCCCTGTACGTTTATTCTTTGTGCCCACCGTGAGTCCCTGGATTAGAAAACTAATTTTCTAATTAGTTTTCTAATAGTTATATGTTCCAAAAACAGAGGTAAATATTGGAGGCAGAAAAATGCACAGGCGGCCGGGTGAGGCTGTAGACACTGTCACCCCACAATGCCAGACTCACAACTAGTGCTGGAGAATGGTAGGAGTTTGATGGAGCTTCCCTAACAACCCTGCTGTCCAAGATAAATCCAGCAAGGCCACTGGTGCCTCCCTGAGCACAGTTGTCCATCAGGGATCTCCCACGTGTCCCAGCAGCAGCCATGCCTTAGTGCCTCCACCAAGCACCATCACTGCCTTGGAGGAGCTCCCAGGATGGGTGACTTTGGCACACACCAGGTGACGGGTGTTAGAGTGCAGTCCAGCAGCTGGCAGCCTGGGCTATTGGGCTCCCTGATGTTGGAGGGATTGGAGGTGCATTCTCAGGGCCAGCACGCTGCGGATTTTTATACAAAAAACATGATTTTACTTCGTTTTCTCAGATAACATAGATAATTAATAACACAGTCCGCAAACAATTGT